AAACTATTGCGAATCTACTGTTTAAACAGCTCACCGATAAAACGTACTCATCCTGCTTTCATTTTAACAGCTCTCAAGGCTAACACAACAGCAGTGATCAATTTTACCAGTCTAAACCACGTTGTCCTTTTGATGCGACATATATTTCTCCATCTGCATTCCTATTTACATTTAATATACTTGTTTATATATATATATATATATATATATATATGTGTGTGTGTGTGTGTGTGTGTATATATATATATATATATATATATATATATATATATATATATATATATATATATATATATATATATATATATATATATATATATATATATATATATATATATACACCCACCCACTCACCCACCCACGCACATATATATATACATACGCGCGCACACACACACACAGGTATATATAATTAAGAGCTGTTGTATCCAAGACTTTCACTTCTTTGTGATGGCTATGACATTAGGACCATTTGCCTTTTATCTTAAAATGACCGCTCCGAAAGACTAGTACGTAGAGCGGAAGGTTGCGGTTTCGAACCCATTTGGATATCAGAATGATTTTCTTCATTTTATAAAAATGTTACTAACAGCTGCCTCGCTAGGCGCTCAACATTAAGGGGTCAGAGTTAGGCTTGTTGTCAGGATAATGTGACTGGGTGGGACATCATGCTACATGTCTGCGGCAGTATGTTTTAGCGCTAGACATCGCTATAATCCGTCACATTGCTGCCATCGTAGCGATGACTGAAAAACGAAATCACACACACGCACACGTACACACACACCTTTTATCTTAGTCAATTGTCTGTCGATATTACATCAGATGTGTCATGTTGGGATCTATTATTATGCTCACTATCATCTGGATCGAAAGCGGAAATCGTACATTTCGTACCAAAAAATTACATTTCATCGAAGATCAGAATGGAATAATACAAAGAAGGCCTATTCATTAGCATATCGAGTAGATCTTATTACGAAAGAGTAAGAACATTGTTGAATGAAAATGAACATAAAAGTATCAATGAAAAGTAGAACAATGAAAACTATGAAATATTGAAATGCAAATGGTTATTGAAAAACTAATTCAGATTAAATACCGTTCGATTCTTTGATGCATAATTTCTGCCTATTGGCACAATAAATTTGAAAACAAATTTTCAATATTTCTAATGGTATTGAAAACTTAATCGAAAAATTCATCTCAGCTTATATCTAGCTTTCACAGAATTAAATGTAACTGTCATCGCCCAAAAGCATACATACTTTTAGAGTGAAAATACCCAACAAAATACCAAAGTATGCTATAAATTATTTATATTAAATTTGATTATGGTCCCGTCATCTTTTATCATTAAATTATCAGCATTTAATTATCTGGCATGATCGCAGTTATATTTTGTAAATTAAGCAGAATACAACCAAATTTAACAGAAACACAGTTGACACAGTAGATGGCAAAAGAAGAAGACCGGCGCAAAGCCTTACTTAGAAAAACTTTAGAAAATTTCACTGGAATTTTAAATTATAGAGGCTGAAAAGTAATAAACGAAGAAAGAATTTAAGAAAAAAGAAAACATCAGAGTCACATGTGGATATTGAAAAATATAACTGGATTGGAGGAGGAGCGGTTGCCGACTTTATCCTGGTCATTGTGCATGTTGACCCCCTCCCAAATGTAGGAATGAAAGCAACACATGCTTAACCATTTATTAAGTATCAGTAATGCATGACAAAAGCTACACAAAAAAAAAAAAAAAAAAAAACGATCGGATTTCAAGGGAAGAATGGAAGCGAGCAAAATATTATCAATTTAATTTCCATGCTTTTTAAAGTCTAATACTGACAATATTTTTACTCGATTTTAATTAAAATGGTCGTCATTTTTAAGCTTGAGTTAAGAAGTGATAAAACTTGATCATTCTCGTTTCACTAAATGTGTTTACAAAATATTATTTGAAAGACAACGGATAGGTACTGATTAAATTACTGAGTCATATTGCCGAGTTTTCTTCTAATGACAAATTTTTATATCAAAGATCTAGCGAACATACTATACATATGTTTTATTTATATCACATATCATGGCCAGATTAAGTCAATTGTTGGCGTGGGGATTATTTCCAGAATTTCACAATTGCCGGACTTTGATGGAGAGGGCACCAAAGAAAACGTCTTTATGTCTATTTACTCAAAGTGTGCATAATGCCTCCAAAACGAGTGCAAGAATAAAACGATGGTCCAATTCTAAGAGACTGCACGTTTGTGTGTGTGTGTGTGTGTGTGTGTGTGTGTGTGTGTGTGTGTGTGTGTGTGTGCCGTTTAATTCCTTTGTCTGGGAGTGGGTTCGAAAAACTTGGATCACCCCACACACACATCCCACCCTGCATACAAATATACATACTTGTATTTGACTATAGGCAAGTCCGGTGTGTCCGCAAAATGTGGTTCTGTCCCTTTTTGTGGCTATTCACAATCCCAGTTGCCAACTGAGAAGTTGCGTTTTAAGGTTCTGTTGTAATTTATAAGGAGACTGCTCCGGTGGCCTAAGTGGTTAGAGTCTCCGCCTCGGATGCAGGGTGGTTGCGGATTGAAACCTTGGCCGAGGCATCTAAAGACTTATAAAAATGGTACAAGCAACTGCCTTGCTTAGCGCTCAGCATTAAGAGGTTAGTGTCATGACTGGTCGGCCTGGTATCAGGATAATGTGACTGGATGGGATATGATGCTACATGTCTGCAGCACGATACCACATTGTTAGACATCACTATAAATTGCCACAATGCAGACATCATAGCTATCTGACTGAAACTTTTTTTTATAGCTACGTTAAAAATTGAAAACACGCGCACACACAAACATATTCATATTGATTAAATAAATATAACTTAAAAGATGTTTTCAATGAAGAAAGTAGAGCACTGCAAAACTATGGTTAGCTACTTGAATAATTAAAGCTCAGCCATTCACGTCTGCGATCACCAGTTCTACCTGATATAGATAATAGTGGAGCCAGATAAGTTGCCAACAACTCGTTTTTCATGAATATCATGTTTGCAGGTGGGGGTGCGGGTGGGAGTTGGGTGGGAATTTTCGAGTAGCATTATCTTTATGCAAGTTTTATTGTGCCTTAATATTTTCTTCCTAGCTCTTTTTGCCTCGAAGCGATTGTTAACATTTTAATTATTTTCAAAAATATGTACAATTTAACTGGCAGAGATCGATATTCGAATATTTAATATCAAAACCACTGCTAATTGCGTGTACATTATTGTTTGGTTTTACTTGGTAGTGACTTCCAGCTTTTCGAGCAGATATTTGAAGAAATCTGTTCAATAAATCTTGTTAAAATTTTATTCAATGGTTTGCGTCTGAGATTTATGCAGATACCCCAGTGTTTTTATGGTTAACTTTTCCTAAGAAAGTTTAAAGCAAGTGACCTTTCTGAGGGGTCTAATGTCCAAGTTCAGATGGTCATGACTCAAAGTGGAATTCATGCTTTGCTCAATAACAAACCTGGTCTACCTGAATTCTTTAACCACATTCTGGATTATTTAGAATTGAAATTCACACACACACACACACACACACACACACACACACACACACACACACACACACACACACCAAAGTCTTACTAAGTTTTTGGTCAAAAGGAAAGGACCGCTGCTGCTCGTAAATAAGAAATGTTATCTTAACACGATAAGTTAAAATGATGTATTTGGCACGGCGAATACGTTCTTTCTTTGATTCGCCTTGTGAGGTAAGCACTCATTACGCTTGCAAAGAACGGTTATGCTGGGGGAAACTTCCCAAACCTAAAGGGTGAGAGATAGAGCACGATGACCATCTCGTTGTTACTTTGACCTAGGAGGTATCACTTCATCTTCATCCAGAGAATTTTGAATAGGGTATCATACCTTTGCGGGGTTGATAGAAGTGTCATCGGTTTGCTACTCACGGTGACCAAGAGAAGGTAACTCTTAGGAATACAAAGGAAATCATGCTTTATCAAATCAAAATAATATCAATATATTACAATTACAAGCAAAGATGACATTAGTTGACTTAGGCAAAACAGTTAATTAAGGACTATATACTTTATATATTTCTAAAATTCTTGTACATAAGTATTACAGAACATCATGCAAATACTTAAACAATCATTTAATAAACGCACGAATTCAGATCAATATACAATTTTGAATTTAGATAACAAACGCCGAAATATAAAGGTTTATTAAAAGCAAAATTAATTCATCTTCAAAGATAATTATAGTTGAACACGAATCTGGAAACGAGAAACTTTCTACAATAGCACAAATAATAGTATTATCACAAAGAGTAATGACAAAATTAATTAGAATTAATTTGTTTCATTACTATATTTTCGGAGTTGGTATATATCAATTTCTAACAAATATAAAGCAATCTGTTATATTAATATTTCACGATTTCAAAGCATAAGAAAGCAGAGAATGTTAGTTATTGAAAATTGTCCAGATATAACACTAACAAGATGGCAACGGTGTTTGCATACACTTGTAACTATTATGATGTGTTTGCATGGGAGAAAATAATTTAAAATCTGCAAATAACATGGTAATAAAATCTAAAATTTCACAAAGAATACGATAACTTCATATTTGTACCCAAACGAATTTTTAGGACTGCAGACATAATGATGCTTGATTCCAAAAGTCGAGCACATAGAATTCACTGAAATACGGCATTGTGAGAATTTAACTTTATCTGTCAGTCTGGTGTGGATTTTTAACGTAGCCTTAACAATTTAGAGTCATGACGTTACGACGCCTGTAGTGTGGAATTTTACAGTGATTTCTAGCATTGTGGCATCATGCCGTAGACACGTAGTATCATGTCCCACCGAGTCACATTATCCTAACATCAGGCCCACCAGTTTTATCACTAACTTCTTAATGTTGAATGCATAGCGAGGCAGATAGATGTTAGCACCAATTTTATAAGTCTTTGGGATGATTAGGCCGGGGTTCGAACCCGTGACTTCCCGAATCCGAGACGAACGCTCTAATAACTAGGCCATCGGAGCGGAGATGAATTCTACTTTATAAAATATTGTAGCAAATTCATTGTTAACACTATCACCGTTGCTAAACAAAATTTCTATTCAACCTTTATATTGTTTCAACTGTGCGAAAATACTTTCGTAACATATATTGAATCCAGTCCAAAAAAAACTGATGCCCGTAGTGGCCGAGTGGTCTACAACGCTCATCGTTACGGATCACTGCCATCTAACCTCTGTCTGCGAGGATTCGAACTCCATTGTGGATACGAGAGAAAGCTTGCCCTTAGCTTGTCGTGGGTCAATGTTTCTTTACGGGGTTTTGCCAGGTTCTTCTTCCACCACTGATGCTGGCCGCCATGTATAGCCTATCATGTGCTGGAAAATAAAGTTAAACTCTACAACAACAACAACAACAACAACAACAGCGACTTAAATACAGTATAAAACAATGCATGCTTGAATATAGAATTCTAAGCGAAGACAATTGAAGCCCGAGAGCTAGGCAATAAACCATTTTGCAATCAATACATCAATACATTGTGCATCAACAAGACAGTGTCTGCACTTTCATTTGATATCGGGTCGATTAAAAAGGAGAATGTACTGCCTGGTATAGTGTCTGTTGCGTGAGATCGTTGATTAAAACTGCAGACTATTGATGCTGTAATTGCATCGTTTAACATCGACTTGCAAATTACAGCACTCGCTCTTTCTTGTAGCTAAAATATTTTGTGGAGGCGGTGGTGATGGTGAAGAATATTGGCAAGCTTGCAGGTTGAACTCCGACTAGCATAACCTTAATGTTGTATAAATCATTTAAATCAAACATATTTCTTCAATTCTTAGGATTTACCGACATCCGTAGTTGTTTGTACGCAAACAACCAATTTTTTTTTTGTAACACCATTGACACAAAACTCCAGCAAACAATTTCGGTTGGGAAAAGAAAATTTTCGCTTTGAAATCAGAAACAAAATGAAAATTTTAATCATTCCATATAATGCAAATGTATGAACACGTAAGAAGTAAATTATTCGAAAATCACGTGCATTAAAAATGTCTTACATGGGTGGATCAGAAGTATTTTACACATAAAATTCAATTTTTGGATAACTCCGGATTTCAAAGGTGTCGTTTATTTTGAGAGCCAAATCAAGTGATCTCAATGTGCCTGTGTGACCATGATATAAGTTCAAGACTGGCATGGCTGCAAGAGAAATGAGACTTTTGCTCAATAAATGATGTAGTTACCTACTTTTTGGATCGATTTTCACTTGTGATCCTGGATAGTAATTAATTCGAAAACGGTAATTAACACGTGCATCATTTCTGATACAGACATTTTAAAAAAAAAATACATAAAACAATGTTATCATGCCCAATGCAGTTAAGTACATAAAACATTATTAAATTCTGAAAGATGTGTGTGTGTGTGTGTGTGTGTGTGTGTGTGCATGTGTATGAGCATGTGAGTGTGTGTTTATGTGTGTGTGTGTGAGTGTGTGTGTGTGTGTGTGTGTGTGTGTGATTTGGATTTTTAACGTTGTCAGTTTTTAACAATTTGCCAGTCATATCGCTACGATGTCCGCAGTCTGGCAGTTTATAGTGATGTCTAGTACTAGGACATTATACCACGGACTTATAGCATCATGTAATACCCAGTCATATTATCCTGACACCAGGCGGACTGTCTCTTAATGCTCTACCCCAAGCGAGGCAGCTCTTAGTGCCATTTTTATAAGGCTTTGGTATGATTTGGCTGAGGATTAAATTCAGAAATCAGTATAATGACTTCTGTCACGGCTAACTCTGCATGTATCAAAAAAATAGTTTCTGCACCTTTGTCTGACATCGGGCCAACTGGGAAAAAGAGAAAATACATTATCTTACCGTATTTACTACTTCAGAGCCTTGATGAATGGCAGAATGTCGATGTCTTCATTAAAATTTCATCGATCGGCGACTTTAAATTTCAATATGCGTGCTTCCTGGTAATATATTGTTTTTGTGGAGGCAGCTACCGCATGGTGTACGTTGGCTTGCAAGTTCTGACAACAGATAATATAGTTTTGATATAAAATACACCAGAACCTTGACAAAAACCCGAAGATTATAATATTAACTCCAGACTATTGTCTGGTCATTGTTTATTGGATGGGTTTTATAATTAGATTTGGACACAGTAAGTCTCACATAAGTTTTGTTTTTATATATGAAATCAAGTCTCTCTCTCTCTCTCTCTCTCTCTCTCTCTCTCTCTCTCTCTCTCTCTCTCTCTCTCTCTCTCTCTCTCTCTCTCTCTCTCTCTCTCTCTCTGTGTATGACGATTCTTACAGTAAATGTCAGTCATATCTCCTCGTTATGGACATCAACAATATTGTTTTGTGTCTTTTTATATTAGATTTAAATGCTAGGAATTTTTAACATTAAGACGCCACGATAATAATATTTTCGGTGTCTTTAACAATCACGGCATGTGGAAATATGTAAAATAAATATGATATAACATATAAGTTAGTTGTTTATCTTTTAAATTGAGTCTCCAAGCAAAATTTACTCCGCCCCCATCCCCGAAATAGTCGTTTGTGGATTAGAGAAATACAGATGAAGTTGGATTCAGATTTGAACTTTATATAGCCATTATATTTTATGTTTCAAATTTATAATCAAAATGTCTTGTACATGTACTTTACACAACCTACCTGATACAGAAATTATAAAAATACCACTGTTTCTTTTGCACCCTTCGGCGACCCCAATTTAGTGGAAGGTTTCTTATAAAGTTGTTTTTTATTTCTTGTGGCAATACTGTTCATTATTAAAGCAATAGATAAATTTAGACTGAGCAAACATCGTGAGTTTTTAATTCCTTCACTTCAATGTATATGAATATTTTCAGTTATAGACTTGTTTCTCAGAATTATTATATGAAAAAAAAAAGGAAAATTGAATATTTTTTTCAAGATATGTTAAATGGCATATAGGATAAATATATTTATGTCACTTGCTTAATTCTGTGTTGTTTCTTTCATACGCAACTAGCCCCCATATCGATATTAAATCTATGACATGCACACACACACACACACATACGCCTTATACATACCAAATTTGTCTACTATTTGCTACATATTTCAGAATCTAGAACAGCCCCGTTAAGTTAATAAAACTAGATTCAACCTCAGCAATACCGAATTACTTTCAGCCAGCACTTTAAAGTATAAAAAATATAAGGTTGCATTCAAATTGCTTTGTTGTGGATTCGCAGTGAAAGTAAGGTACTCCTGATTATTGAACCTTAATTATAAGGTTAAGAAAATTGAAGAATACGAGATGAAACTAAATACCGTTATTGGCGACAACATTCCATTCACATCTCAGAGCCCATGATTCAACCTATGATTGCAAGGTGCAAAGCGATTACAATACCCTTGTGAACTGAATAGGATGGGCTTGTCTAGGGACAAGGGGAATTGAACATTGTTTGTATGTTCAGGGACAAGGGGAATAGAACATGGGAATGTCTGTCTGTCTAGGGACAAGAGTTTTATAGGGATATAAACAAAATAGACATACATACATACATACATACATACATACATACATACATACATACATACATACATACATACATACATACATACATACATACATACATACATACATACATACATACATACATACATACATAAACCCATACACATACAAAAAACACAAATACATAAATATGTCAATACAGTTGGGATCTTTTGAAGCAATGAAAACGAGCGTTGGGATTTTGTTAACACCAATGGGTTAACAAACGGAACATCGCACGGTCTTCTTCTATTTTTCAAATTTCGTCTGATATCTCGATTGTCGATTTAATACTCGCTTCAGACAGCCATGTCTTTCCACATAGATCCTTCGTTTTCAAATGACCGTATCTGTAATCTTCACGTTAGCCTATAGTGATTTTGCATACATGGGCAAGTCCAATCTGAAAAAACATTGACGATATGATAATAGACAACTCTACGTTAGTTTACATCTTGTCTCGAGAACAGGTGAGCGGAATGAGTCCTGTGAAGGATATTTATAGTTTAAGAGCGGATCGCAACGGATTGACCTCTTTCGCCAATCCAAGTATGACGCCACATTCCCTATATAGGTGCGCTAGCGTCTATGCGCAGTGAATCAATGCGACAGAGTTTAAACATAACTGAAACTACGCAGACGATGTATTAGGATGTGCCCGCAGTGGAGACGGGAGTGATAGCATGACAGCTACCAAATCAACCGCAGTCATATATCCATACGAGAATGATTTTAATTGGGATTAAGTGAATTTTTTCACCTCTTCTCAAGAATATGTACCGGTACCACCCACGTCTCTAGAAAAGAATGACCACTCAATGTTTGCCAAATCAAATAAAACTTATATCCCTTTTATCCGATGATGATAATGAAGATGATGATGATGATGATGATGATGATGATGATGATGATGATGATGATGATGATGATGATGATGATGATGATGATGATGATGATGATGATGATTAATATTATTATTATTATTATTATTATTATTATTATTATTATTATTATTATTATTATTATTATTATTATTAAGACCAAGAAACACGAAAGTTTTTTTTCTGTCATATTCACTCCTTTTAGAATTTACAATTAAATGTCACAACACAACATCAAAAGTCCATTTTTCTTTTTCTTTCAGGCTTTTATTTTCGATTGCTTAAATTTCTTCACTGGCACATTTTTTATTTCGTCACTTTCCTCTCGTTTTCTTTTCTTCTCATACTGGATGGGCATGGCTCTTCCTCCATTTTGCAGGGTTCTTCTTCATTTTCGGAAGCTCTTTCCTGTTTCACCTGCCTGTTGTTTCTTTGATCGGATCTCCTTTTTCTTAGGACAATCTGAAAACTAATGTCCTTTTTCCTGGTAACAGTATTTTGACCTTTGTCTCTCTTGACGCCTATCTTACCCTGATGTTGTGAATATTTTAAAGACCAA